TTTTTTGAAGGCTCAGCTATCTTAATGGACTCAATGAGTCAACAACATAATGTGGCTGCCAAAAAAGCTACTGTGATTAGGAACTAACTACATCAACAGTAGCATAGCATCCAGAAGTAAAGAAGTAACCGCCCTCTCTACCGCAAGCTAGTTAGAGCACATCTGAAGTATTATGTTCAGCTCTGGGCTCCACACTTTGGGAGAGACGCAGAAAGACTGGAAAAGTCCAGGAGAGGGGTGACCAAGATGGTGAGGGAATCCGAAACCAAGTCACACAAAGAACAGTTGAGGGAGCTGAAGTTATTTAGCCCAGACCCAGAGAGAATGTGATCACTGCCCCCAAATCCCTGAAGAACTGTCATGGCACCGAGAGAGCAAACTTGTCCTGCACGGCCCCACAGGGCAGAACCAGAACCAGCCGGTGTTAACCACAGAGACCAATGTTTCAGCTAACTCTTAAAAGTATTTCTTGAGATGTACTCAGGCAGTTGAGCCTCCAACTCTTGGTTTTGGCTCAGGTCGCGATCCCACGGTTGCGGGACGGAGCTCTGCATCAGCTCTGTGCTGCGCATGGAGCCTGCTCGAGATTCTCTCTCTCCACACCCCTGCGCTCTTCCTCACTCGCACATACTGTCTCTCTAAAATAATAAAAATAAAAATAAAAGTTTTTAAAATGTAGAGCCATGCTAGGAGGCAGTGGCTTCTAAACTCCTATCTAGCCCTAAAGGTCCATAATTTTAAAAATCAAGCGTCTGTCACCACCTCCGTCTCTTAGTGCTGATAACTACCATCCTGCGGCATCACAGCCTCTCCCTTAACCCTTCTCAAAATGTCCTACCCAGCCAACCAATCAGCCAAATGTTTTGCCAAGTCTGTGGGAGGAAAATGCCTGTTTGCTGGGCAATTAGTTTCAGTTTGCAGATCAGTGTCCTTATAAACAAAAGAGGGCCCTAATTGAGGGGCAGGCAAGAGCTCTCAGCCAGACCTCTATGAAAGAAATTCTTATTAAATCAAAGAGCAGCTAGAAGACCCATCTAATCACATAATATATTATCAATAGCATTCAGTCCTCACAGGAACATTAAAATAAAATACCCAGTACAACCAACCATCTTCCCGAATGCCAGAGAATCCAACTTTGCAAGCCAAACTAGGTCTCTCAAGATCAGTGAGAACTTTTCTCTCTGTCAAAGAGACGTGTGCCCTGTTTGATGTAGACTAGAACCCATGCTCAGATAAAAAGGCCATCCTCGATTGTATCATACTGTAAAGCCAAAAACTACCTATCGGTAGGCCTGCAAAGCTCAGTTCAGCTGCTGAGAACGAGACACAAACAATGTAAAAAGTATGAACAATGTTAAATTTAAAACACAGAAGATAAAAAAAAAAAGAACACTGAAAAAAAAAAAAAAACCACAGAAGAGCTACTGAAGTTGGACATCCTTCTAAAACTTTTGTCACCCAAAGACCACTAGAGACGTAGGTATACGTAAGTCCATGGAAGTTACTCAAGCCTTGAACAGTGCACATGGCACATATTCATCAATCCAGTTTTACTTCCTTTGAAATTGGATTCTTCGAAACTACAGCCGAAGTGTTGGAGAATAATGCACATGATGGAGTTCACAAGGAAGGACACGTTCTTGTCTGTGCTTTTTAAAGTGAATCCCAGACAACCTAAGTGTCCATAAGTAGATTAGTTTAAAAAATTATATTATTCTTATGCCAAAAAATGTAACTGGTAAGAATAAGGTAGACTTTAACTATGGACATGGGGGAAAAAAAGTCCATGATACATAGTTAAGTGAATATAGCAAGTTGCAAAACAATATGTGTAGAATTATTTTGAGTTTTTGAAAACTATTTTTAAAAACCCTCTGTGTATGGGGAAAAAAAAAACCCCTTCTGTATATGTATGCTCCAAAATGCCCAGAAAAATGTCTGAAAAGAGATCAAACTGTTAACAGTAGTAACCTCTAGGGACTGACTGGAACTAGGAAGCAGTAAAGGAGTGACTGTCACTTTTTTCCTTTGTAGACTTCTGGTGATTTGGATTTTTTGGAACTAAAGGTTAACTTTGTGATTTAAAAATAACAATACGAAAATAATAAAGGTAAAATAACATCGATTACACAGACTTATTTAACATATACTCACCATTCAAAATAAGTGATCTTGCAACTACCTAAATGCTACCTAAATGGGTGCTTCAAACTCTGGAACATCTAATTCATCCTTTTTCTATAATATTTTACTACAACAACAACAACAACAACAAATCCCCACATTACTATTAGGTCTCAACTGCTTTCTATCACACACACACACACACACACACACACACACACACACACACACACAAATTGTAATCATAAGGCTAACTAACACATATGGTGCTTACTCTGCACCAGGAACTGTTCTAAGCACCATAAATGTATTAACTTAGTTAATCGTCACAGCAATCCTATGAAGTAGGTACGATTATGATCTTCACTTCCCAGTTGAAGAGAGGTTAAATGACCTGCCCAAGATTACACGGCTAATAAGGGGCAGAGCTAGGATTCCAACCTGCGAATGGACTCCACAGTCCACACTCTCAACCACTATGCTTCCTGTCTCTCAGCAATATGTCAATCTCTCTATACCAAAGCCAAAAAAGGGTGCAGTCAAAATCCAGCCAGTTCATATACTCCTTCAAGCTAGAAGAGATGCAAACTTAGCTTTTTATGGTTGAATAATCTGCATTCCTACGGATGTCAATGCCAAGCTCCAACCCAAAATTCAAGACTGTATTAAGACTCGTAATCATGTGGGAAAATTCTCTACAAATTCGTTTATAGTCCAAAGTCCATACCTGACTCTACAGTAAATCGCTGAGCCTAAGAATTAGGTCAGAGATCCATTAATGTAAGTACAGCTTGGCAAATAGTTTGGACAAATCCCCACCCTGACTCAGGCAAAGGAATTCAGAAGCTCTTGTCTAATGTCTTGACAAGGCAGGTCTTATTTGTTTAGTCCCAGCCCACTTCAGATTCAAAGGAGACAAGAATAGGAGTTGTCTCTAACTTTGCTTGGAGACTTCAACCAGCAGGAAGAAGAGCCTATTTTCTCTGTGGACTCAAACAGATATTGGCTTTTATCAGCATCCTCCAAACTGAACATTCTAACTTCAGGCGGGGGGTGGGGGTGGGGGGGAGAGGCAATGGGCATCTCTGTTTAAATCGTGTATTTGTGCAAACATATTGACCTTGTAATTGAGGAAGAAAAAATGGTGCAAGGAAGGGATTTAACCTAATTTATAGGCATGCTCAACCTAGATGCACACCTGTCCCAAATGACCTACTGAATCCAGTCATTTGCAGGGAACACATGGATTACACTGTTTTTTTTTCTTCTTCTTTTTTGGCCTCGAGTGGTCTGTCCTACTGTTGTAAACAAAATCCTTAGTATCTCTTCCACCTGCCACATGCACATCATATATATATATATATACACACACACACACACACAAGGAGAAATGA